TGAAGAAGAAGAAAAAGAAAAAGAAAAAGAAAAAGATCTTTTCGTGCCTTCTCGGATTTCATATTTTTCGTAAAATAAAAATAATCTGTCAGTTTAAAAAAAGAAATAGAAAAAGAATAGAACACACCGATTATACGCGAGGCGTGTTCATTAAGTTGTTAAAGCATAACACCTTCAATCAAAGAAAATTGTTCGGTAAACATGAAATATGCTTCTTCAACCTTCTTCTGGATCCGTGTCTCGGAGGATCAAAAGAAAAGAAAAAGCGTTCCGAGAAAAGAAAGGAAAAAAAGGACAACGTGGAAATGTGTATCTACGAAAGAAATCTCTCGTTTTTCCTTTTTTTTTTGGTCATCCTAAAAATCGAGAATCGATTTGGAGGAGAGGAAGCAATTAAGAAATAAAAAGATTTATTGCGGTATCTTTTATCGTGTCTAACAATTTTTATCTTTTCCTATTTTGTTTTTTTTCTTTCTTTTTTTTCTCCCATCATCAAATATTTCTTAATAATCATGAATAATGAGATATACTCGTCGAAAAAACTATTGGCATTTTTGTTATTTGAATAAAAATTATGTTTCATGTTTCGATGACACGTATATTTAAGTGAAAATGTAAGACTGTGTGATGTATAAGTTCGACGATGATCAAACTGTACCTACTTATACAGATTCTTACACATAAATTTTTTCCGTTGGTAATAGGAACGAATGTTGGTAGTTCTCCGTTTTCCTCGTGTTCCCCGATGACACGTACGTATGTAAAAGAAAACGTAAGAGAGTTGCGTGCTTGCATACGTGTGCGTGTATGTATATATAAGTTCGACGGTGATCATCGAGCAGCAAGATGCCAAGGCAATAACGAGCGGCGACTTTGCTAGCCGTATCTCTTGACGTCTTAATGAAGCAATCACGAGGGTTCTCGAGAAGGATCTCGAGATGGTCCACTGAGAAAAGGGAAGGGGAGAAAGAGTGAGATGGAGGTTTTACAGTGGGTAGGTGGAGTGAGCATAGGGGGTTGGGGGGTGAAGAGGAAAAGAGGATCTGCCGACTAACGATCGAGCAAAACTTTAAGGAGAAAGGGAATCGAGATCTCTTTCGACGATGTTCTACTGCGTTCTTTCTCTTTCCCTTTTCCTTTAACCCCCCTTTGTCGCCCCATGCTCTGCCCTGTCTTGCTTTGCCATGCCCTGCACTTCCATGCCCTGCCCCATGCCTCTTGCTATCCAACTGTTATTTCTTTCTTTCTTTCTTTTTTTTTTTCGTTTTCTTTTTCCTTGGATGGAGAAGACGCCGCGAGAAGGCGTCGATGGGGCGTGCCTCCGAAAGATTTTAGGTTCAACGATTCTTTAGGTAGAAAGAAAGATTTCTTTTTTTTTCTTCTTCTTTTTTTAAACTCTTTTTTTGATAAAAAGTAGAATGAGGTTATAGGTAGTATGAAGAAATATTTGTGACGAGTTAACAAAAAGGATAGATAGGAAAAATTGTATATATAAGTGAAATCAGATTTATACTAATTGAAAAAATGTCGATCGGAATGATCAACGATTTAGACGTTTCGTAATACAAACGAGAACGAAACTACGAATTTATTCTATTTCTTGGAAAAGTCAATGTACTTTTTGATTTTATTATATTGGAAGATTTTAGTTTTGCATCCCGCAGAGAGATTCGTTTGACAAGAGTTAAAGCTACACGTTTGAGAACTCCCGTCGTGTTACAGCATTTGTCAGAAGGTGTTCCCTGTCTCGTACCTGTTTTCTTCCTTGCTACGTTTCTCTCTCTCTCTTTCTCCTATGATTTTGTATTTTTATTTTATAAAATATCCATTCGTTTCAATGAAAAATCGAATCGAAACTGAAAAATTGTTTTCATTGTTTTTCGTTAAAACTTCATTTTTCTTTTTATAGAATTCAACCAAGCGTACACACACACACAGAAAAATTTTCCTTTTATACTTATTTGCATTCATTTCTTAGCTTACCACGTTAAACCGAGTACCCTTTTCTGAAAAAGAACAAGAAAAAAAGGAAAGAATAGAAAAGAAGAGGTAATACTTTTATACAAGGGTATTTATCATAGATAAAATCTGTTCAATTTATAGAATCACAAAAGCCTAAAGAACATTCTTTCGTTTTCTTTGATCTTGATAGTACATAGATCCTAAAGTGTATACTTTTTTTTTGTAGTCTTCTTCCTTTATACCTTTCTGTCAGAAACTAACTAATTTTAAGTTTCCCTTTTTCACATTTAATTCTCTCCTTCGTAGTCTTTTTAAAAGTTTTGAAGAAAATTTTCTTCGTGAAACGAACACGAGTTGAATCGTTAAGTTATAAAACTTGGCACGCGTGTTCTCGAAGGACAAATATTATTTTACGATTAGTATCACTTTTATACATCATTATATATCGTATCATTTACATGTATCATTCATTTATAAATACAAGAAAATATATTTTTCATTATCCAATTGACTGAAAATCTCATTCCACATAAAAATGTATGTCTTTTTTTTAAAGCTCACCTTAGGAATAAAATATATATGTTAAATATCGATACTTTAATGTTATAAAAAATGAAGTATGATTTTTATTCAATCAATTTTCATGCACGAAGAATGAAAAAAAAAAAAGAAATTACTACGAAAGGAAGAAGAAAAAGAAGAAGGCGCCTAAAGATTTTCTCGTGTGATTTGCAATAGACATGTACAATAGATATGTAAGTACATAGGTACGTAATGCACGCATATGCATATGTGCTCGGATGGGAAAACACCCATAGAATGCCGATCGTTTGTTCGATGTCAGCACCTATTTAACTTTGTTAGGGTCGCACGCATAACAAGCACTTTAGAAGAGAATACCAATGAGAAGAAACTCTTTTTTTACAATGAAACATCTTAAACGATGTTCGAAGAATAACGATCGCATGTTTAACAATGCATGGTCATAAAAGAATAATCGAATATTTCGAAATTTCGTGGGGTTTTTTTAGGATGAATCAAAAGTTCGTGCGTTGATTGCACCGAAATTTTACTTTGAAAGTGCATTACGGATTTATTTTAGAAATATCATGAAGAAAATAATATAATCAAATTAATGAATATTAATTAAATTAAATTGATTGTGTTTTTGGAAAATTTATTTTAGAAATATTAATAAAGGAACAAAAGAAAAATGGACGAACTTTTGATTCAATCTAATATAATCGTTGCTTTTATCGTCGATGATTTGCAAATTGCGATAAGGCACGTTGTCGCAATGTAAAAGAGATTATTTTTCTCTCCAGGATACAAAATACAAATCATGATAAGACTTTTTCCTCTAGTGCGTAAAAGATTTACGATGATATACAACGACTACGAGGATCGTATTGCGAATTTTAAATCGATCAGATTAAATCTTGAGTATCGAAAACGATTAAACGAGATTACCAATTGTTTGCTAGATATATATATATATATGTTACTGTCAAAGCCGGAAATCAGACATTACTAGTAAATCCTCGGCATTACTATGAATGTAATAAACTTATATTAAATTTAAGTACACTCTTTTGTCTACGCGTAGAATACTTTATCGAGTTATAAATTAATCTGCAAAGGTTCAAAAAATGTCAGAGAATGTAATGCTGTAAATTGTGCATCTTTGCAATTTGTTTTTTTATTTAAAGTTTATTAATAGATATATGTATCGTAATAATGTACTTTGTATTATTTTTGCTTTAATAGTTATTCAACTGATTCTGATATTGAAAAACTGATTGTGAAACACGTGGTGACGAAAATGTTAATATTGAAATTTCACTTCAAACAAGGATATTGTTTGATTTTCAGATTATATATATATAAAGAAGCGCGTGCCAGGTTGCCACGTGTTATAGTTTGCTTAGATTACCTGGGCCAAAGACCTATCACTTTCAGTTCTCCTTACTCTCTGTCCAAGTTTCTTACCTAAAGTTTACTTTGCTTTCCTTCTTCACTTGGGACCATTGTCCTGCCGAAGGCCCTAACGCTTTACTAAAAAGAGATAGAACACGGTTTGAAGAGGTTCTCAAGCTGTAATCATTATTGTCTACTACAATTTTATATAATATTAATTATATCTTTGATCAAAATAACCGATTTATCCTCGTATACACACTCTTACATCATTTTACAATTTTTTTTCTAAAATTAACACTTTTTTTCTGATCAAAAATTTAATTAGTATTTTTCCTTTTTTTTTATTTCATTCGTAAGAAATATTAATAAATGTTTACGAATTTGTTGAAACATTTATTATAGTAACGAATTATTTATATTAAGATAATATTATTTAATTAATACGAAAATACTAGTATCATATTTATATAATATTAATATAAATTATTTGTTACTATTTAAATTTATATATATATATAATAATTATATAAAATATAACTATAAAATATATAGAAATTCATTAAACATAATTATTCACAATCGAATAATTAAGAAAGAAATAATATTAAAAAAGTAATATATACCTAAAACCTCTGAAAAGATCTCGGTTGAGAATCACAGGACCCCTCTAAGGCCCTGTTGAGCTTCTCCAATAAGAAAGAAAGAGAGAGAACAGTAGTAGAAGCAAAGTAGGGGCTGAAGATAGACGAAGAAGGATAAGAAAATAGAAAGAGAAAGAAATAAAGAGGGAGAGAGAGGAGAAAAGAAAGCATGCTGAGTGAGATACGAGTTGGGGAGGGGGATAAAAAGGGAAGGCAGGGTACAGGGTACAGTGGAGGGAGTTTAGGAGGGACAGGGGGCAGGGGGCCCAGTGTCGGTGATGTCGGTGAGGGAAAATGAAGGTAGTGTTGGAAGCAGGCTGGTGTCTCAATCAGCCAAGAACCGCAGGTTGGGGTGCCCTGGATGGACCCCTGTGGGTGGAGGATAAAGCGGGGGGAGGAGGAGGAGGAGGGCGGAGTACGAGGCCTTCGGCTTCGAACCCGTCACAACTCAATCTAGTAACTCTGAGGCTGCGGCCGTGTGCGAACGTGTCTCCCTAGCATACATTTTTTTTACATCTCTTTTTTCTGTACAACCCCCACCCCCACCCTTTCTATAGTTTTCTATTTTATTTCTTTATTTCTGTTTATCTCTTTCAAGAACCTCCTCCCACCCCTCACTCCCACATCTTTTTTTTCCCCTATATATATGTATGTTCCTATGTTTTTATTTCATTTAATTTTTCTTATTGGTGTTGTTGATCATTTTTGATTAATTAATTAATTATACGTTTGTATCAAACGTTAAAGACGAAAATAAGTAAGATAAAGAAGAAGAGGAAGAGGAAGAGGAAGAAAAAAAAGGATGGGGAACGTTGGTAGAAGATAGTTTGTAAAAAATTGTTAAGAATTTAAAACGCGAATTGAATATTATAACGAACGAATTTCGTAAGTGTGTGAATGTGTTATCGAGAGGAACACGATGTGATTAATCGTGTAATTTATTCTGGAAAGAATATGAAAAGGTACGTTGTTAATTTGATATATTTATATACGGGGGTTGTTTAAGAAAAAAAAAAAGAAAAGAAAAAATAAACAGATCATTTATTGATTAGATGAAACATATTGTATTATTTGTTAAATACAATGTTTTGTGATTAATAAATGTTTGAAAATAAGTCAATCGTTTCTATGTTAGTATAATGATTGATTTATTGGATTCTTGGAACAGTTAAATATTATGTTCAGTCAATGGTGATGGATCGGTTGCGTGCTTCTCTCCATTCCCTAATTTCAACCCTTTGGATTTCTTTTTATAGGGATATTCGTAAAGCCAGCAAAATATATCTCGTTCGTTGATGCATTTTAACTTAAAATTAGAAATTATTACGAAATCGAATTGATAATATATCAAAATATTTGTTATTTTCAATGAATTTTTCGATCGATGTTTTTGTTTCAGTTTGTTTTTATTTTTGTTTGATATATATAAGTGTTATAATTATCACACAATTTGAAATAAAATGAATTGAAAACAAATAGAATAAAATAAAATAAAATCAAAGTAAAATCTGTTATTATTTCGTATGCGTATTATTTGCATTCGATTATGGTTTTTTTATGGATGTCCCGTTTCAAATCTTGCCCGCGCGTTGATATATTTACGAGCGAGATAAATCGAAAGATATTCGATACGCATTTATCGAACGTATCGCGTGTCAACGTATCGCTGAATCCTTTCTACAATTTGTTTACCAGAAATAAAATAAAGATAGAAGAAGAAACACAGATAGATTGAGAAACAGGAAAATCGAGAGCTTGCTAATAAAAAAAAAAGTATAAAAATGTATAAAAATCAATTTCTACGAGGTTTTTTTATCCGCGTGCTCAACATATTTCGCATTCCTATTATAATTATTAGTTGTTCTGTTTTTATTCTTTTCAATTTAATCTTGAAAGTATTTAAAGTTCTCGAGATTCCTTAGTGATGTTAGATTTTCCCAAGAAAATCTTTTCAAATGGAAATAAAAGTTAATGGTTAACTAACGGTAAGAAACTAGAAAGATTGTTAAATGTTTTTGTTAAATAACGCGATAACAATTATTTTGATATATCGTTCGTTTAGTAAAAACATTTCTATTAAATAAAGATAACTTGTTTTGAATGTTGCAACATTTTATAGTATACGTTTCGATAATTATCTATACGGTTTAATCTTATCACGTGTAATAAAGCGTGAATAACGCATACGAGTTTATGGGCAAATGATAAAGGAGAGTTTCGTAAACCGGATCTCGGTAGGCGTTCGTTCGAACTACTTTCAAATCGAACTTATCGCGTCATCGTTCTCTTTTAAATAAGAACGAGTTTCACCTATATGAAGATAATATTATACAAATATATTTTTTCTAATCTAATATCAATAATTGATTCGAGGAAGTCATTTAATTGGACGAGTAATGTTGAAAAACACGTGCACCCCGAAAGTACTTTCAATGCGAACGAGTTTTATCTAATTATATGAACATAATATTATACAAATATTTACTCTTTCAAATCTAATAATATTAATTACTTTGACAAAATAGTTTAATTCTAACATAAAAGTCTGCTAAGTATTAAACGAGTGATAGAAAAAGTACAATGACTTTGTCCCTTTCTCTAATCTTGGTCCTTGCACTCTGAGCATGATGAACAATGCAGAAAATCACCTGCCCCTAAGAGTACGTTCATCGTCCTTTCTCCCTACGTGTGTTTACACACGTGCACACGTGTGCACAAGTTCACGTATACAAACTTATACACTTCACACGAACACGCGGTAAAAGTGACGCACGCGATCTTCCCTGCACCCTTTCCCCCTTTTCCCCTCAACCTTCTTTCTTTCAAGTAGTTGGAAGGAGGTAATAGGAAGATGAAATTGGCAGTGTTTGCTCATTAGCACGAAAGACACTTTTCCACCATAGATTTATGTTCGTCCCTGTGCTAATGAACTCGCGTGGCATTGGACTCAATCGTGACTCGAACTGCAAACCTTTTTTCCTTAACAATCAATGATGATCATTCATAGTATTTGTATGTATATCATCGTATAACCCCTTCGGATTAAAAAGAAAACAAAAAAAAAAGGAAATATATTTATATTTTAAATGACGTGTCAATTTTGTCGTTTAGTTTTTTTTTCGTTGAATATTGTAGACAAAATTTCTTGGCAAATGTTTTAAATCAATTCTGTAAAAATCTCAACACGTTCCTTCCTTTTTTTATTTATTTATTTTATCGTGATAGAGGAAATACGATCACGATTTGAAATTGTTAACGTTTAACTTACATTAGAAAATTTTTAACGATCCACGGTTTGATTATAGTCCACGTAATTATTCGTTCGAAGAATTTCTTACGTTAATTCGAGAAAAAGTAGAGAAAGAATCGAAGTAAAATGCTGAAGGGAAAAGAAAAAAAAGAAAAAGAGAGGGTTGTTTATTAAAGTAAAAGGGATAATAAAGAAAAATATCTTGAAATAAAAGTTTGACAACATGGGCGAATAGAAAAAATCTTAAACCACCACGTGAAACGATAAAATAAAGGAAGTTTTTAAAGAACTGAGAGTAGTAAAAGAATAATTTATGAAGACATTGAAGCTCAACGTAGCTTTTTCTTTGGATTAACTAGGAAGAAGGTTCGCTTTGACTGTACCAGTCTCTCAACTTTTCTGTTCTCTCTCTTTGTCCCACCTTCCCACCTCCTCCCCTCCTGGTAAGCCAGCAGCTTTTCTATCTGTTAAAAGTATCAACTAGAAGGAAGAGTTATCGCAGGTAGAACAGGATGCTGTTTGGTAGTTGAGAAGTTAAAAAGAATTAATAAATGTGTCGGAGAAAAAGTTGAACAAGGTAAACAAAAATTTGGAACGTTGTATTTTGAGATTTTTGAACGTTTCGTACCTTCATTAGGACTTCAGCAACTATAAAATACATTTACCCTTAAAATATAAGTAATTCTTTATCACGTCGAAAAATAAAATGATTAATAAATGTGTCTTAGGGAAGTTGGGCAAAGTTTTTAAATTTGCAACCCTGTCCAACTTACCTGCAACACTAAAAAATACATTTTTAGTGTATTTAATAAAATGTGGTTTAGTAGTAAAAAAAACAGGTAACAGGTAGCAGGTAACATTTTCATGGTTGGTCGAGCATTCCCCCTTCTTTTTATTGTACGTGATATTTGACAAAAGATAATAATTAAATAATTAATAATATATTATAATATATATAATATATATATTTATATATGTAATACAGGTCTTCGTGGCTCAAGTGGTAGAATGTTCTTTCGGTATGCAAAAAATCCTGGGTTCGAATCCCAGGCCTTTCTCGACTTGTGAAAACAACTGAAGGTTCGATTTTATTGTGATTGTTTTTCGAACGAAAAATGCATCAAGGGTTGCGTCTAATATACATTATGTAATAATAATTAATAATGAAAATAAAATTAAAGATACAAATTTCTAACATTCATACATTTTCTAATGTGAGAATGCAACCCGGGATGCGTCCTCTTGCTTTGATCTCTTTTAGAATAAAAAAAAAGAATAAGTATAATAAAAGTATTATCGTGTCGTGACTATTAAAGAGTCAGATTTAAACAGGGCCTAGCAGATCACGTTACTGTCACGACTTTCCTACCCGGAAGCTACTATTACGAGCCTCGATCATCACGATATATTCTCTTCCAACTATAAATTCCACCATTCGAGTTGGTGATCACTGAGTTAATGAGAGTTACGAACAACCATATATCTATAGAAAAGTAAAGAAAGTATTTCAAGTTGGTGATCACTGAGGGGGGGGGGCTACACGAAGTAGGGGCTGGCCATCTGTCCCTCGTTGCCACGTCTGGTAATGTCTTGGTGGTCCATTTTGGGGCTGTTGTATGTTCAAAGGGCCTGGTCACGTTGTTCCTGGGCCTACACACTCACTAAAACCCAGTCACCTAAATTGTTCCCTTGATTATTTGTTTCCTGTTTGAAAACTTCATTAGTTATTTATTTATTTACATTTCTCAATGTAAAAAACAAATAAATCAATAAAAAATAATCAAACAAATGTATCATTTAAATCAATCGTTTGAGTATAAGTAAAGGGGGGGTTACTGAACCGAAAATCTAAACAGACAAAGACAATATAAACTTCTTCTTCTTCTTGTTCGCAAAGTTTAATCCTTTTTCGAATGGTTGCATAATAATCAACAACTTCCGTTTCATACGATATAATAGTTTACACTTAAACTTGTGTATCTTAACGAGAGAACTACGAGAAGTAATCGTTAGGTAAATATTAACTCGTCGCATAAACGAAACCTCGTTTCTCACTCCCTCACCCCCATCCCACCCCGATGCAATTATTTACACGGTTCCTTGACGAGAGTGGTGGCTTCGATGCACACCTGATTGAAACGCAAACAGAGATAACCTTTTTTTTCTTCTTTTTTTAATATTCTCCTTTTCTTTTTTTCTTTCTTTTTTTCTTTTACACTTCCTTTTTTCCCGTTTAGTTTTCTAGTCTTCTTCTTCTTTTCCTCGAAAGATTTTCGAGAACGTGCACGAGGCTCAATCTTTTTCTAATTCTGGCCACCAGCCAGAGTTGAAATCCGTTATGTATGTCACGTGTTCCGAAGTTCTCGAATGGTGCTCCTCATCCTCATCCTCCTCTTTGGAAGATTCAAGAAAGAGTCCAAGTAAAAGAAGTATTTTTAGTTACAAATAGTCATTTTTCATTATCCGGTAGAGTAGAAAGAAAGAATGATAAGCTAATTGTAAGTTATGTTACTCGTTGAAAAACTAGGATGATGATCAATATAAATATAAAAGTATCAATATAATGGACCAATATAAACTAATGATAGGGTATGCATAACCAATTTTCTTAGGGTTTTTTGTTTTATTTCTATTTCTCTTTCTCTCATTACTATTTTTCATTAATTTTTATTTATACGAAACGAATTTATCCCGATATAGCATCCGGATAAATAAACCGGAGGTTGGTTTGTTACCAGAAGGATCTTTAAACCGTTAGATACTTGGATCACCCTGGTGCAAGTGTATCGCGATGTCTGAAGCACGAAAAGAGAATGATGAGACGAAAAAGAAATAAAGTAAGGAAGGAAGGAAGGAAGGAAGGAAGGAAGGAAGGAAGGAAGGAAGGAAGGAGAAGAATGAGAAAAAGAGTAAGAGAGAAATCAGTTTCTTCGTAACGGATTCGGGACAAAGAACTTCGTTGTCCATTTTCTTGAATAAGTTCGGAACATATAATAAAATTAATTATGGTTATATCTAGTTTTTACCTCGTGACTACACGTGTTTCCAATTTTTTTCTTTTTTTCTTCAAAGAAAAAGAATCCCAATACGAATCTTTTAAAATTGGTTTTCCTTGTATCGTAATTCTTCAAGAATTCCCGTTATGTTAATAACGATAGTAAATTTGGATTATTATTATGAGAAATTATTTAGTTGAAATAAATCAATTGAAAGTGAACAGGTGGCAGGTGATTATCGAATACGTTTTCTGCATTTAACATTTTCTAGAATCGATCGGTAAAGAATTACTGACACCTGCGTTGCAGGTAGCATTTAAGTATAATCAATTTGAGGAACTTATTACTAGGCATGTAAATAAACACGTGCTTCGCGAGCTCTAACTATTATATGCATTCATACATTATTACACCATCGAAGATATTAACGTTAATACTTAGAAGATTATCACAACATATATGTATTACCACCGCTTACAATTAACAGAATACTTTTAAAATAATTTAAATAAAACAAAAACGTCAAAATTTAATTCAATACATTTCACATTTGAGAAAAAAAAGATCAATAGATGTTTTCATGTTTTTGTTTTGTATCATTTTCATTTAATAAAAACGCGCGAAAAAATTATCAAAGATATTATCACCACATACCTGATGATAAATAGTTGACGAATTTTGAAACCCCCATAGCTCGTCGTCGTTGTCGTCGTCGCTTCCCTTTGACGTGATGAACAAAAAAAAATGTCGGCGCGTAAATTTACATTCCGCGACATTCTTAAAATAAACCAAGTTAGCTAGCTAGCTAGCTAGCTACCTGACTAACTAACTAACTAACTTTTCTTCACTCTGCTATGTCACTCGAACGAGAATCTCGTTAAAACTTGTTGTCACGTTTACCAACGCCATTAATCGCAAATTATGTTACATTTATACTAAACAAAAATGTATAATACACACTTCTGTTCGTTCGTTTCATTTTGGTAACATTATTTATTTTATTATTATTAATTTATTCATCGTTTTGATGAAGTTTTCAGCAAAACTATTATTCGTTCATTCATAATAAAAATATAAAATGAAAAAAGTAATAACTGTGTTCGATATCGTAAACTGTATAGTCGATAGCCATAAACGGTTTATTGAGAATTATGTAACAAAACTTATTATCATAAATATGAACGATCCAGCTAAACGTATAACATGAGGAACACCACGTAGAAAGAGAAAGAAATATAGATAAACATAAATATATTTAACTTTCACTCCGATAATACGAACCGCTCGTAAGTTCCCACCCACTCGTATATTCTTCTAGGTACTGAAGAAATTATATTTCCTCGGGTTGGACAGATACAAGACTATCAAACACCTACGTGAAAACGTTGTTGTTTTTTGTTTTTCTTATTGTCCCAAAGAAACTAGCTAAATACACAGTTCTAGATCTAATATCATTTTATTCAACGAAATAAAAATACACGAAACGAGAAATCTTAACAGCTGGAATATACGTGCGTGTGTTTATTCAAGGCAGGGATAAATTGAATTGGTTTCTTCTATAACTGGATAAAATACTATTTTAAATAATATTTTATTTGTTCTCCAAAAAACAAGGAAGCATTATAAAAAGTATTATTTATTTGTTTAAACAAAAATAGTATTGGAAATATCGACTGAACTTAGATTGCTCGTTCATACGAGGGAACTTGTGTTTTCTCGCACGCAACGGAAGAACCTACTTAAGCGTCTTTTGTATTCCATACTTGAAACTACCAACTGAAAATACACTCTGTAATAATAAACTCTAAAGAGAAATTGAATTGTATTATGTATTTGCAATTATCGACGGTGATGTAAAAAAAGAAGAACACGTAATACGATAAATTAATTTATAATTTAAACTGAGAGTAAAGAAAACCTAATATGTGATGAGATACACAATTAAAAATCTGAGAAATAATTAAATATTAGATTGGTGCGTATGAAATATAACAAAAGTTATGCCAGAAATAAGAAAATAAGGAAAACAGGGGGAAAAATCGTTCACGTGTAAAGAAAATCCGACATTTCATATGCACCAACCTAATGTTATTATTTATTTGAAAAATCTTCAGGATGTCTCGTGGCATGTATCGGTCGGACGTTGTCCTAATTTCGATGATGCTTTTAACGATGATGTTCACCTGTACAAGATCCACCACGTCAATGCGTTGCGAGGATGCTAGGCTTAGGTGTGCTTATAGAATTGGATGTGGTATGGCACTTCAACACTATGTCACTGGTTGTGCATCCGTTTTGCAAGGTGACAAATGTTCCGAGTCTTGTCAGCACGCCCTAATTGCTTTGACCAGCACCGATGAAGGAAAGGAACTCATGACGGTATGATAATAAAATGTAAAACATATAAATAGGCTTCCGGAACTAACATAAGTGATTGCGAATTTTGTTGATAGACAAATGACATTTAATTTAATTCAAATTATGACACTGGATAAACGATGATGGGAACAAAAAGTCATCGACATTTATTATTTTTATTATTATTAATTAAAACATTATTATTATAATTTATTCACACAATTGGGTACTGTGTCCGTTAATTATTATATGATATTAATTTTATTATATATAATTATATTTGTCAGGAAAAATGTGACATTTACCTTCTTATTTAAAATTCGCAATTACTTAGTTGCCAACCCAATAGAACTCACAATTGTGAATTTTAGGGTGAAATAAAAAATTCCTTCGTTTAATAGCAAATATTATGACAAATTATCATCGAAATTTATTTTGACAGTGTCAATGTACACCAGACGACGAGTTCTGTCAACAATCGAAACAAAAAGTCGAGAATTGCAGATCTTCGGTGACGACGGCTATGAACAAGACAAGGGTATCCTGTAGGATAGCAACTTGGATATGTAATGCAGATGCACTATGTCAAACTGCATTATCGTATTATAATAAATTTTGTAAAAGCATGTTCCATGGGAAGAAATGTACTCATCGGTAAGTATCCTATTATTTGGACAATTACTTTTTCTTTTCTTTTTCTTTAATCGTTTATTATATTTTGTTTTTCCTCGCTGAAATTTTTACTGTTCGCGAACGTTTTAATATCATAATATGAGTCGTTTATTTTTAAAATGGCATAAGTTACTTTTTCAAAAAAATCAAGTTCATATACATAATATCTTTTCTAATATAATATCTTTGTATATATTTCATTCGTGTTGTTGTTTTTTTTTCTTTTCTTCTTTTTTCTTTACGTAGATGTAGAAATTCGATAAACATATTAAGGCGACAAGAAAAAGCAGCTAAATTAACAACTTGCATTTGCGACGGATCCGAGGAATACGATTGCAAGGGGATTCATCACAACATGGATGCATTATGTTTCGGAAAAATTCATCACGATTATCAGCAAGCAAAAAAGGATGTTGACGATACTAGGACGAACGATATTCTTCGAACTGAAACGAATGTTTATGGGAACGATGCAACAACCGTTCAATTGTTTGTTAACAGGACGACGTTGGTGATATCCATCATTTGGATTCTTCTTTTTTCGAGGCTAGGTAATATCTACGTTTATTTATTATTATTTTTTCAAAATGTAAACGTTACATTAATTTGTTTCAATGAATTTTGTTCAATTTATTAGTTTTGTTTTTCTTTTAAATTTTGTATTTGTCTGAACAAGATTTCAAAATATCTTCAAATTTACAAATATCATTTTATTTCATGATAATTTATTTTCTAATATAACGAAGTATACTCGTCGTTAACGGATAAAAAGATTGATCAATCATTTGTTTGTTTTTGTTTGCAGACTGACGACGTGAAACCGTGTGCCAAGAAAAAAAGAAAGAAAAAAAAGAAATGTCCAAATAAAAGTACAGTATTTCCGCGAGTGAACGACCAAAGAGCATTTTTTCTAGAAATGTTTAAAAATAAGCGCCGGACCACGAAAGAAAGGGAAAAAGGGCTTACTGGGCCCCTTATCGAAGACTGCGTTACGCGTTAAAGACTTTTTTTCCATTTTTCCCCGTGTTCCGAAAACAAAAAATACAAATACAAAAAAAAACAAAAACTTTCTGCAAACTGAGAAAATCCATGCGAGAAGGAACGTTTTGCGTTTGTACATTGATTATGTATTATAGAGATTAACATATAGGAAATATTTGTTTTTAATTGTTGTTTTATAAGTATTATTATTATTATTATTATTATTAATATTATTATTATTATCTTAATTTATGACAAAGCACAAAGTAATGTTAATCGAAATCATTCGCTAAGATTCGTTTTTACCGTTTCATTTTTTGTAAAAAGATTACGAACAATTTTTTCCTAATTTCATTCGTTTTCTTATCGACGTGACGTATCCCACCGTTTTTTTTTCTTTTTGATTTTTAAAATATTTTTCTTTTAAATACTTGCACACGATAAATGTATAGATAATATTACGTATTTATGCGAGTGTAATAATACACTCGTTTTAATCAAAATAATCATCGATTTACGAAATGGGGGTACGTTTATTATTATTATTATAATTATTATTATATGAATGTATAAAAAGTAAGTTACCAAACTGTCGATGCATTTTAAAATAATTATCAACAAGTATGCACATTTTTGTATCATCATTTATAACGAGGATCCATGTAATATGGATTATTATTATTATTATTATTATGAACGCGAACAATGATACGAAGAAAGAGTATATTTAATTTAAATAAACATTAAACATATTTTTTATCATGCGTGTATTAAAATGCGTTGCTTGAATGAAAGATAAGCAGGAAGGTAGGGCAGGTAGGCAGGCAGGGAAGAAAGAAAGAAAGAAAAAAGAGAAAGCAGACAACAAGCCAGGTAGAGCAGGGGGCCGAGCGGGACGGGGGAAGGAAGGGGTTAGTATGTAAGCGAAGGGGGGTACAAAATAAAAGTATCAAAAGGGCCACTCGTATATCGGACAGGTGCACGAATCAAGACGATTATTATCTAACGATCGCATAGCTCGTTCTGTAAAGTGAGAGATGATCGAGAATAATCTTAACAATGCTGCAACCCCCTCTTCTTTAAGATTCGAATCAAAGAAGAAGAAAAAGAAAGAAACAGAGAGAAAGACAGAAAAAAAAGTTATAATATTAATAACAAAAAAAAATGAACATTGCAGAAAGTAAACTAAGAAATAAATAAAAAAAATAGGATAATTTTAGGTAACATAAAATGATTGAAGGAAGAATAATACTCATCTTGGGGAATGAGTATATAAGAAGATGTGTAAGAAAATAAGATACGTAAGAGTGCGAAAAAAGATCAAGGCTTAATCAGAGAAAGAAGGAAAGAAGAAGAAGAAGAAGAGGAAAAGGGAAAGGGAAGGAGTTGGAGAGAGAAACTCGGATGTGAAGGGCTATGGGTGTTTCTATTGAGCATCAGCTGTTATTGTGGACCAACTCTATACGTTGGATCCAGCATGGTGCTCTTCTCCACCACTTCTTGGCCACACACGTCGGTTCCTCTTCTTAGCAGAGACTTGGATGATATCGTATAGCTAACGTAAGCTTTCTCTCTCTCTCTTTCTCTTTCTATCTACCTGAACGCATCATCATCGAAGTTATTCTCTGTGTGTTTCGGGAAACACAGGTGTCTCAGTAGCAATATTACCCTATTATCTTTTTGGTTAATACAGGTAACTCTTCCTACAACATGGTATACTATAACACTTTGCACTTTTATAGTAATTGATAGATTACATGATTTCGTTTAACATAATATTGGCATTGGCAACTAAATGAGTCCAGTTATTTTAATATTAATCTATAGACAAAATCAACAATGATTTAATTACCAAGCTAATCATTTCTAAATGAAATTATCATTATCTTGAGGGTGAGATTAGGCAATCTATCCTTGGTAAAAACAATAAAGCACTGCTCCTGGAAATAGTAATAAAAAAGCTAGTATAACAGGATGAAATTCTAATAAAAAGAAGAAGAAGAGAAGAAATGATTTTAAAATAATAAATTCTGGACCTCATATAACACGGTATTTTGTAGAATCCTATGTTATCGGAGGGTTACCTGTACACTCTCTCTCAACGATTGTACAACACAAGTTTTAGTTTTAGCTTCAAACTCAAACGTGACGATAAAGTATAATATCGTTGCTAGAGAACTCGGCTCGTTAACGAACGAAGCTTCCTCCCTCTCTCTCTCTCTCTCTTTCGCGATTATAATTAAGAGTAAGACCGATATTTACGAGAGGGATATATTTTGCACGAACCTCGGCCCCCCCCGGCCAACCGGAGCGCTATAATTATATCGGGAAGTAAACGATATTTACGAGACGTAAAAAGTTAACGTGGAAGTAATTAGCGAGATGGTCGCAAAAGGGATTTCTAAGATTCGAGTTGTTATAGTTTTATTTTTGCCTTAGAGCTTATTTACTAATTCACTATCATTATTTTCTAAGGTTTTTTTTTTCTTTTTTCTTTCCTTTTCTTATCTTTTCTAAATACAAATTCAACTCTGTTATCATCATTTTCTGCGATGACAATGCAAACCCAAGTCGAACTTTATTTCCAAGTAACACTTTATTAATAATTATTTATGATACCTAAGAATTTTCAAAAGAAATACCATGACTGGGTCAATTTCATTTGAAATATTTCTCATTAAGTTATACAAGTTGATAAGGAACAGTCTCAAAGATTTCTAAACTCTAAGCTAAGATGATAATCGTATCGTTTAAGAATCGATTATGTTAATTCGTTATTTTCGTTAATCTTTTCCGTTAACGTAGTAACTTACGTAAACACGAAAGGTATTGCTTTGCTCGTTGCGTTCAGTAAAGGACTCTCTTTAACATACACACATATATATAGACATATACACGGTAGAGGATGAAGGTAAGTTACACGTGCATGTATGTGTAGGACGGAAAAGGAAGGAAGGAAGGAAGGAAGGAAGAGATAGGTGGTGGTAGGTAGAAGAAAAGGGAGCAAGAAAGAGAAGGATGCTGGTGTCGGCCACACACGTAGCCAAGAACGGCAGGAGGACCCCCGTGTGTGCGACGAAGATGAAGGTATTCGAGGTAGGAAGGGAGAAGAAGAAAGAGAAAGAGAAAGAGAGAGCCCGCAGGCTCCGTGCACGGACCACCCACCTTGACTTGGGCTAGACCTCTCAGCCTGTCCTTCTCGAGACTATCGTCGCTTTACCGAAAGAGGAAGAAGCTCGAATTTAGCTAGTTAAAGAGCAAAAAAGAACGAGAGAGATATAGAATCCCTAAAAATCCTCTACTAATTATGCCATTGCACTCGGTTCCTCGTGTGCACGCATCACCGACCTTACGAATCTATCGGATGCTGGTTTATGACTAGGAAAATGAAAAGACATCGGTCAGGGGAGAAGTGGGAAAAGAGGGTAGCCAGAACTCCGATCCTTCTTCAGCTTTCAACTCTAACTGGGTGTTCGTCCGTACCAGGTATCCACCTAACAGCTGCGCGACTTTCTTTCCGTGCTTTTATTTTGTCAGTCGTAAAGATCCCATCGCAAATTATTTCGTTTCAGGTTGTCCGAGTTTAATGGGAAAAGTCCTAGTCAAATTTACCAGGGTTCGTTCCGTTTGCCCGTTTCGATCGATGATGTGTGATGACCTAGACAATTTGTGTTTCCTCAATATGTTCATTTTTGTTCAATTGTTTGGAACAGGGAGAAAGATCAGTCGCTATTTGGTTTTTCAAATTTATAAACGAAATGTGTTGAATGATTTAAAGTATATATCATAATTGAAATGAAACGCCATCGATCGACAACATTCGATTATATGGAAATTTGTCTCTTATTATTTTTATCTGAATCTAAACTCCATATAATTGTCAAATAAATTATATAGTGTTTAGAATTTATATACATTTTTTTGACAATTGAATATAATCCTTGAATTGTTTGCTAATGATTGAATAAGTGATTTCATAAATACGTTTCGTTACGTACCTTTTCGCCAATTATAATGTAAATTATGTAGAGATAATATTTTATTATTTGATTATAAATTAAGATGGTGTTATAACGTCGTGCATCGCGTACCTCCACGTCCATGCCCTTGCTACTTCTTCGAATTTTTCACGGTCGTTCATATACATTTCGCCTAATTCCGGCTCCATACATACCTAAAGAAATAATGCGTTTTGTATTAGACTATTATAAAAAAAAAAAGAAACAAAACTTAGTAAGATTTACCTGACAATATGGATCCGTGAGTAAACTTTGCACGCTTATAAGCACCTTTGATATGGTAAGAGCCAAAGACCAATTATGATGTATAGAATCTATTCCCACATCTCCATGTCTTGAGACATTTGGATGTAGTATTTTTGTGAGAAATCTTACAACTGGTGGACACATTGGATAACTGGAATTAGAATTAATATATATTACTTTTTAACACAAATAAAAAGAATTAAATGAAAAATTTGTTTTCATCTACCTATACGGCACTTGTAAATACAAATAAAACAATCCTCCTTCGTATGGACTACCCACTGGTCCAGTAATCGTAGCCTGCCAGTGACAACACATTTGATCCAACGGTGTAGCTTCTATACCTTCGGGAGGATCCATTCTTAAACTTTTTAATTCGCTGAGTAATCTATTTCGCCTCCAATAATATTCTTCCATTCTTGGTGCTCTAGTTCGTAATGAAGTTTGAGCTAAACATGTTCTACATGGTGCAGAAGAAGCGAGTTGATCGTACACTTTGTACCAATTATTAACACATCCAATAGGTCTATATAAAGGCCAACGCATTTTTACGTTTTGTTGCCATTGTTGAGATGTCACGTGTGTAGATAATAAACCGCACCATCTGCGACAAACATTTGCAGCTGACCAAAGACTTACATCGTCGAGATGTGAAAAAACAGCTAATAGAACTTCCGGTGGTAAACTTTCTACAAGACCAGGTTCATTGATAGGTTCGTGTTCGATATGCTTAGGATTTGTCAATATTTCTAATCTTTCTGACAAATTGTATGGGCTAGATGGTTCTCCAACTTCTTCATACTGTCTACAATTATTATCCTGACAGTGTTGAAATGGTGGAACGTGTTCCAAATTCTGTACATAATCAACTTGAAATGCTTCCACATTAGGAAAATTGTTAACATTGTTAATGGGTACATTATGATTATTAGATACATTGGAATTATTCACATTTTGTGGAGAATTTTGTTGTTGCTGGCTAGTTCTTCGTTCATGACTATAAAAAAGATCTGTTGGTTCATCGTTGCCTGAATCTTCATCGTCTGTTTTCTATAATTAGTTTCCAATTATAAAATTATATATTAAACATATATTATTGTAAATGTATTTATATAAGAGATGTATGTATTATAATGCCTTATAATAATTACCTCGCTAAATATCGGAACTTGAAATAATCCAATATCGTTGGGAAATAAGAATGCGTGACATGTTGCACAAACAGGTTCTTCGAAACATGGGCCATAGTATCCATTGCAGATATGACAAGCAGTAGTCTACAAGCCAAATTGTTTATTAGAAATGGTTTTACAATTAGTATTGGAAAAATTATTTGCAAACAAACATTTATGTTTCCTAAGTAATTACTTATATGGTATTTTCTAACCATAAGAATGAACAGTTGTGTGTAAAGTAATAAATGTTAAAGAATGTATCGTTGAAAGCATAATAAATACAAGATTTTTGTATTAATTTACCGAAAATTGAAATTCTGGACAAGGAACAATTTTATCACCAGCCATTTTGATTTAAGTTGCAGTAAACAATAATTATAAAGATGAATATCTTGTAGAAACACTATAGAAATCCATTGCACTTCATTAAATCTATAACTTTATAAACAAACTACTACTCCTCCTCTGTTTATTATTGGTTACGAATTCTAAATCCTTGGATAACTTTCAATATGCAATCTTTAAACCAATATGGCTACTAAGGGTAGTATCACTGGAGGCGCTAAAATTGTGCGCGCGCAAATTTGATTTACTTACACAGAGTTCGTATTATATACACGTGTACCGATTATTAAATATGAAAACATATCAAAATAATGATAAATTATTTGATTGAACAATTTGAATTTCGTTAAAATCTTTCGTTTCTTCTCTGTCAATGTAAAACATTTATTATATAATTGAAAATAAATTAATGCATAATGCGATTCGATCTAAGAGAGCAATTAGTCCTTAGGTTAGTACGTTTAGTTCGTTTTTTATCATATAATCTCGATAGATGGCGACCTAATCGGCGATTGCAGTGCCTCTGTTAGGAATATGGGTGTACTAATCAGTAAGTGATTGGCAACGAGTTAAGCGAGACAAGTGATTAAAAAATGGCATCCGCGACGACGTCGCACAATGAGGTTTCGCAGCAATTTTCTGTCAACAAACTTATTCGCGTTGGTTATTACGAATTGGAGAAAACAATCGGCAAGGGAAATTTTGCCGTTGTTAAAATGGCAACCCATGTAGTAACTAAATCAAAGGTAAAAACGTCAATTAATGTCTTCTTAGATGCACGGAATCTATCATTTTGTCGTTATATGCTTGAATAACACACTGTACGCATGAATTCTCGTCGAGTTAACGATAATTAAGTCTACTATGCTCGAGAATACGCTGTCCTTTCGTATGAAAACATTTATAAGCGTACGAAAGTATTTTTTTAGATTGTTACCATTAACTAGCCCTACTACATCGACAGAGAGATATGTTTTTCCTGTTAATTTTTCAAACTCATAACAATGATAATATGTAATATCGTTTTAACACTTTTACAACAACAAAAAATACATAAATAACATGTTTAATTAAAATATTAATTAATAGATATTTCTATACTAATAGTAAGATTGATAAAAATAATAGAACATTCCAGTTAAGTACCTTTAAGGTCTTTGTAAAGGTGTCTTTTTAAAGTCTTTTTAACTTGGCAGGATTTGTTGTATTACATCATCTATATACAGAACATTATATTCATCAACGAAATGGTTTATGTATCTCTGATTAATTATTTCTATCTATCTTGTAATCATTTGTTAATCGGTAGACACATAATTCATAATTCATAATCACACTGTACAAAAACGTTTCTTCTCTAATTAATATCTGTATGTAATGCATTTATTGATGCATTAGTTTTTATTCCCACGCATTACGTTTTGTATATAGGACATACAACCATAATCGCTCTTAAGGATCATCAAGGTACAGTTAAAACACATGCTTCCAGATAAAGGAATTGTATCCAATCTGTCTACTTGATTTAAGTAATAAATTTTTATTTCATTGTCAGCTGTTGTTTAAATCTATATTTTTATTTATAATTCTAATATTATTTCTAAAGTTTATCGGGGTTTGTTATAGGTGGCTATAAAAATAATAGATAAAACAAAATTGAACGAAGAGAACTTGGCAAAAATATTTCGTGAAGTACACATAATGAAAAGATTGAGGCATCCGCACATTATCAGATTATATCAAGTTATGGAAACGGAGAAGATGATATATCTAGTAACAGAATATGCACCGGGGGGAGAAATATTTGATCATCTTGTAAGAAATGGAAGAATGCCAGAACCAGAAGCCAGGAGAATATTTCGTCAAATTGTTCTTGCTGTCCATTATCTACACCAACAAAGAGTAGTTCATCGAGATCTTAAGGTAACAATATTTCATCCGTTTAATCATTTACATGGATCTGCTTTTCACTAATCTATAATTCATTTATCTTTTCAGGCTGAGAATTTATTACTTGATGCAGACAATAATATAAAACTTGCTGATTTTGGATTTAGTAATGAATACACACCAGGTGTACCTTTGAATACTTGGTGCGGGTCACCCCCATATGCAGCTCCAGAAATTTTTGAAGGGAAACATTATGATGGGCCACGAGCTGACGTATGGGTATGTTTTACTCAAAGAATGAAATGATTTTATATTTTTATAATGTGAAAATCTAATTAATACGAATCATTTTATTTCAGAGTCTTGGTGTTGTACTTTATGTATTAGTTTGTGGCGCATTACCATTTGATGGTCCTACAATGCAGTTATTACGCTCTGTTGTGATCTCAGGAAAATTCAGAATCCCCTTTTTTATGTCTGCAGGTATTATCTTTATAGTATAATTAATTTCATTATATATTTCAGTAATATAATGATTTATATTAAACTGTATTTTTTTTTCCTTGTTACAGAATGCGAAAAATTAATTAGGCATATGTTGGTAGTAGAACCAGAAAGACGTTTGAGTATTTCACAAATTTTAATTCATTCTTGGATGGGTGGTGATGGTCAAACAGAACCAGAACCTGGAGGGTATATATGGATTTTAATATTTAAAAATCGTTTCTATTTATAAAATGTTCACATTTTACGTGTTTATGTGTCCTCTTTCAGGTGCAGTCCTGAAACAACAACTATTCCACCACAATTGAATCAATTAGTTATAGAAAATATGCTTAGATTACCTGGGCTTAGTGCTGACACATTGTTAAAAGCAATTCAAGGAAATGCGTTCGATCATGTGTCAGCTATATATAATTTACTAGTCGACCGATTGGAACCCACGATGTCTGCTTTACCTACTATACAAAATATTCCAGGCGATTATATGCCCGATGGTGCACATCAATTAGAAAAGGTATGCATATCTATTGGTAGAAATTCCCTTAAAATGATATTTTCTTTATTTAATTATGCATATTTTATAAATTTTGATTTGTATATCTGTTGGATATAGTTCGGAGAAGCAGAAGCAGAAAGTGAGGAGAGAAGCAGTCTTCAATTATCACCTGATACACCTTATCACGCAACTCGAAGGCATACAGTAGGACCTGGTGACACGACGCATCAACCTGCTACGTCATATCCTTATGCCTATAATTATACTCCAGGATATCCTACATTGCGACCCCTTCCTATCTTGCAATTCAATAACGATCCACAAGTGCTGCCACATACAAATTTACCATTAAATCTTCCATTAGTCCAACATCAACCACCTCAGAATTTCCAAATCAAGGATCAACATTTATTAAAACCACCACCTGTCATGGGTGCTAGTGAGTTAATTTCTATTTTTTTCTTGATAAATTGGAAGCATACAATTATTGTATTTTTTCTCTATTATATTATCTAATTATATTTTTATTACTTCATATAGCAGGAAGTTTTGGACGAAGAGCCTCTGATGGAGGAGCCAATCTTCATGTTTTTTATCAACAACACGGTAGCGGTTCTAGTGGCGGAGAGAATGGTGGATGGAGTCAACCTGGTAGTCGTGAACACTTGCAGCCTGTAAGACGAATATATATTAATTTTTCAATAATGTTCTCTTTTTATATAACTTTGTCTTGTTTATTAAATTAATAAATTTAATTTACATTTTTGTATAGTTACAACCTGGTAGTCCTTCATTGGTACAATGCACACAATCGTCAACAGTTACTAGCGGTGTTAGTGGAAATGCAGATGGAAATGGTAGCAGTAGTGCAAGTGGAAATAGTGCCAGTGATAGAAGACGACGAAGTGGACTAACCGCAGTCATGCAAAGACCTGGTAAACAAATTAAATATTAGTTGTATTTGTGTATTGCGTCATGTTGCGCATTATAGCACGGTGTATGAAAATGCACAAAAGCACATGCATACATGTATATATACATAATATATACTGACAAATGTCTATGACATATAGAACAATTATTCATACATCGAAGCTTTCATTGTGACACACATAAATGATTTATACGCTAATTACAATTGTACATAATAATGTGAAAACGATTGGTCCACGGTACAAATAATGTATATACGTGTGTATTTCAAATATCTATGAGCTATTATCATATAGCTTTCTATATGTTATGTTATACGTTACATAGTGTGTCGACATTATTAGCTGGGAGAAAAATTTGTTATACTTAGACCATTCCTTCCAGTTTCTAGCGTTTTGTATTATGTTTTATATGTATATTAATTCATTTAAAGGATATCTTTTCTTTTTTTTTCTTTCTTTTCTTTCGTTTTTTTTTCTTTTTCTATAAGTTTTGTTTTTCTTTTTATTCTCTTAATTTAGTATTTATGATGACAATTTGATTTGATTTCTTTTTAATTTTGCATGGTTTGTTTTTGTTGTGTCAACTGCACGGCCACATCTCGTTGGTTGGTAATATGCATGTAGTTATAAATCCGGAACTGGTAATGGAGGTGGAAGCTAGGATGAACAGAGCTTACCTGCCGTCACGACTATTACCAAGTCATCTTAGAGGCCCGACACTTCCACATCACAGGAAAACTTCGTTGTATCACGCTAGTGCTGGTAATTTTTGCACTTTTGTTTTATTTCTAGATTTTATATGGTTTTTTTTTCCTCCCCCTTCCCTTATAGCTGCAGCAACAATGGATATGTGTAGTAAAACTATTATAAATAGACTGTATATTTTAACGATGTATAGATAGATTTGTTTATAGACAATGAGAAAAAAAAACAAAATCACTTGCTTGTTTTTGTTTTCACGTTGCATACATATGTGGTATTGTTGTATTTTTTAACTGTATATTAAATGTAATTATAAGAACAAAAGGATGAAGGAGAATATTTCGTATACATTGTTTGCTTGTATTGTTTGATAGGAAGTAGAGATTCCTATAAAGAACCAAGTAGTCATGTTGCAACGGAAAGATACTCGCCAGTTCGTCGTGCATCGGAAGGATCAGGTCCACCAGGTCCTGGGATACAAGCACTTCAACAAGAGTATCAACAGTTGCAGAGGTTAGCATCTCCTTCGCATAGTCCCGCCAGTATACCAGGGTCTCCTGTGCACGAAAGAGGTGTAGCAGCCATAACGCAAGGTATATAACATAACTTATAATATCGATTATTGAAAAATTCATTTCAAATAATGTATATTAAATGTAATATATTTCATAGGTTTAAGCGGTTTGACAACTGCACCCGTACAAGGTAGTATAGTGCACGGTACTCCTGCGCAATCACCAGCCACGCCATTAGATCTAAGTCCCTTAAGACATCATAGATCACCGGCTACAACACCTGTCAGTTATTCGCCTAGCAATAGTCCTGCTTTGGATATGATTCAAGAAGAGCATCCTGTAGAAATACCAAGAGTAAGTAGTTTGGAAATAATCATACAAATTCATTGCATGATTCTATCGATAAATAAGAAATTAGAATGTTATATTTGAAAAGGAGTAAAATAGTAAAAGAAATAAGTAATATTATATTTATATGTTATTTTTGTGTAAAAGTTTATAAGAGTTGATAGATAAGAAAAAGTAAAAAAGAAAAGATAAAAAGAAAAAAAAGAAACCCCCCCTCAAAGTTGTGTGCGTTCTGCGAAGCAGTGTTCGAAATTTGTTATAGGTACCGCCACAAATTTCAGTGACAGACGTTCTTGGAGGGCAAGTGACGTTAATCAATTGTTCACCGTCTCCGTCTCCATCGCCAGATTCGCTCGAGGACGCATTGCCCCATTATACCACTTTACCGAGTTTTATTATTTCAGAACCATGCGATCCTTCGAGACCTAGTATAACGCGTGGTATTGGTAGGCCACTAAATACAGCAATACCCACCGAAGTGGAGGTCACTCTATCGGATGAATCAAGTAGATTAAATTCTGAAACTATATTGGGTCGTGTTAAAGAGATCATTGATGCGAGAGCTCCGCCAAAAGGTTTTATCTTTTCGAGAGAAGAGGTCGAAGGTGGAGGATTAAGTTTAGAATATCCCGGTGGTGTACAAATTGAACTTAGAGTGTGCGAATCGGAGGAAAGAGAAGTTAAGGGGATTAAAATGCGGAGAATTAGCGGGGACCAATTGCAGTACAGTCAGCTTTGTGAGCAGTTAATTTCCTGCATCACTGTTTGACGACAACCAGCCCATATCGTGTTGACGCTTTTTTTTATGTATTATAATACATTCCTGGTGCCAGATACACCACTCCATACAGTATTGCGCGTGCATGCTGCATATAAGCCAACGATATTCGACAACTATCGTTGCAGCTTATATTATAACATTTGTACGTCTAACGCTTATTATATTTTTTTGTTTTTTTTTCATCGTTTCTTCTTTGACGTGGAACTTTGTGGTTACGTCTAATATCATTAATTTGTACATAGTATGGAATTTTAGAATGATGCGTCGAAGGTCAAACTTATTTTAAAGGATCATACCGTTATATCATACGTATATATGTACACACCGTTCGAAACCATTTCTTTTTTTTTTTTTTTTTTTTTTTGTATATCACGTTATTTCTAGAAAATCTGAGTATTAGGCGAGTTTATAAGATATAAAGGAGTATCAATGAAAGTCTAATCGTTGATATGTATGTACATCACACCATTCCTTTTTGTAGAATGTATCAATCAATGTTGAAAATGTATAGGTAGTTAATGTATAATTTACTGCGCCAATTTTGTAAAAAGTAGTGATCCCTTTTTTTAGTTGAAACATAAAAGAATAAGAAAAAAAAAAAAAAGAAAGGAAAAGAAAACAAATGAAAAACAAGAGTAAAAAAGAGCCAAGCCATTTGATAGCTAAGAAAAAGGAAGAAAAAAAGAAAATTAGAAATGTCAACATATTATGCTGTTAGTTTTAATACTCTTTTCGATTATTCTCATATCAATGAAAATTTGTATAACGAAGCTCTTCCTTATGCGTCGCTCATTGGAACGAATAACTAACTACTTCTTTTAATATCAATGATTGATATTAACTTCAAGTTACAGAGATATCGTTGAAAAAAAAAAAGAAAAAAAAGTATTGGTCCTTCGACGTATTGTACCTTTCGGGGAGACATACATTGTTCTGTCATTTACACGTAAACTACATATATAGTCTCGTAGGCAAGTGCAATTATTGTAAATTTTGTTTAAATCCGTGCAAACGTATCTTTTTACGGTTTGAGATCCATACAGACTGAGTTATGAGTGTTTTTCTCTTTTTTTCTTTTTTTTTTCTTTGTTCTTTTTTTAGGATATACAAAAAAAGAAGTCACGCTATGCAATATGATGGAGGATTAGATTGCAACGATTTATATGAGAAATTGATTAAGCGCTCATTAAGGACATGTTTGTATTTTTACCGAGAATGCGTATTCTCTTCCTTCATTTCAGCGTTTATATGTAAATCTTTTATGTATCCAGGAAAGAGGGAGAAGAAGGAAGAGGAGAATGGGTGAAAATAGAAAGTTTGAGGGATAACATACTCTTAGTTACATGTTAGCGTATATAAATGCAAAAAAAGGCTGTACATTGTCACACACTAGAGAATACCGAAAGAATAGAATTATTTAAATTATTTAAGTCCAAAGATCGATTTCCCGTGATATACAGGCATTAGTCGTTGGAAGAAACGAAGAAACGATAGCGACAAGTGGGAAAAGAAGAACGCACAGACTTGGAAGAAAGAAAAATGCAAAAAAAAAAAAAAGAAAAAAAAAAAAAAAAAAAAAAAAAAAAAAAGAAAAAGGAAATATATAACGGAGAAGATATAGTTTTTTTTTTATTAATCATGGATATATACATACATAGAAAAATTTGTTGCATCAATGCTCGGAGAATATTCGATGATACGATTTTAAAAACACTTTAACAATTGGCTCATCATCCTAATCGGTCTAAAGCGTATTAGAAGAGATGCTTATTTGCTTGACTAGTTGCGATATGTACGTAAAGAATTATTTTCTTCTTTTCTTTTTTTTTTTACAACTAGTTTAGTTTTTATATTTGGAAGCATGGTGAGGCATTTCTCTTTTGAATACACATGATTATTTATTCGATTCGATACATCTTTTCTGATAAAAACGGAGCAGATATTTAAGTTTTTACAGACAAGTAATCTGCAGGTTGACGTAATTTGATGATTGTAATAAAAAGGAACGAACAGTTTCGTGAGAAAAAAGAACAGACGGAAAGAATACCTATTGAGAAAAGTAGATATGGTTTTGTCATTGCAAAAGATTTAACATTAAAAAAATGAACAAATTGCAAAAGAAGAAAATATTACTTCAGAAAAAAAGTGTCATCGTAAACGATTCATGTCAATCGTTCAAAAATGATCGTTTGATTTTCGAAACGATTGTCTCTCTTTTATTATGCATTATTGTCATACTGCATTACTGCAGATGTTTATGCAACAAAGGATTAAGATATTAAACTCGAAGAAAAGTTCATCAGGTCCGTATCGTATATACGTATTTAGATGTATGTATGTATGTATGTATGTATGTATGTATGATGTATGTATGTATGTATATACTTCTTTTCAAATGTCACTTTTATTCATCACTTTCTGCATTACGCATAGATTGTTTTTTTTTTTTTTGCATATTTCATTTGACGGACATATGCACGAATAATATATATACATATTATATATTTATATATGTGTATATATATACTACATGTATCGTGCACATGTGACAGCGTATTTTTATATTGAAATTTGTCGATTTTCTGGTCAACTATGATCATTTGTAAATAATTAAATATGGATACTTCTAAAGATCCGTAGTGTCTAATGGTCACTGGCATAAAATAAACATCTATCTATTTGATCATTTTGATCTCAATGATCATGGAAGTTACGAAGATTCGAAAATTTAATTTGACAGTCTTCCTTTGGGGGAAAAAAACCGATATATATATATAAAAGAAAAAAATAATAATAATAAAGAAAAGAAAAAGCAAAGAAAACAAACAAACGATTAGACAAAACCATAATTTTCATTTGACATAGAATTTATTTAGTGCATAATATGATATTGGAAAAAGTTGGTTTGTTCATATTTTGTATAATTGACGTGCGATACGGAAACAAAAAAAAAGAAAGAGAAAAAAAAAAAAAGAAGAGAGAAATAAAAAGATAGAGACATTTATGTAGATTACATTGCGTATACAGGCTCTATTCGAAAGTAATATATCATTGTAACACTTTTTAGCTTGTTTGTCAAAAGAGTACTTTCGTATTTTAAATTATCGTCTTTGGTTTTTTTTTTGTTTTATAGTCACTATCGATATAAGGATGTATCTGAATTTTTCTCCTACATATATTATTAATGAATTTGATTTAGCTCTATCGATTATTCCTTTTTAAACAGTGTTTTATTGTATTTATAATATGCATGTATGTATATGGAAATTCGCGAGATGCTGATGTGAAAACAGAACAAATCTTGTTGTATATATAATATGAATGTTGCTTTATATACGTATATAAATATTACATACGTATAAATACGTACATATTTATATGAGTATATATATATATATATATATATACATATTTGCGAAAGATATCATGCGAGAGGAGAATCATTTGTAATGTACATTATAAATATTACTATACGAATAGGTTACAAGATAGTATTTTCTGTTGTCAATTCTTCAACTAAGACTGTGATTTTTAAATATACTAATAATAGATATAAAGTATGATATACGCATTTTGGGATTATTATTATTATTATTATTATCATTATTATCATCATTACTACTATTATTATTATTATTATTATTATTATTATTACTACTACTAATATTATTATTCTACCATTTATTTTATTATGCAAGAATCGTGCGTGAATCTTGGATAACTGGTACGTCATCAAATATTTCTGTTCTAACTTTTCTGTTCTGGACTAACAGACTGATTCCGGAAGAAAATGTTCTTATATTACGAAAAAAAATTATTTTTCTTTTATTTTGCGAAAAGAAAGTAGAGGAAAGTGTATGAGCCTGTGAGCAGCAGCAGCGGTGAGTATACAATATCTATGTGTATATATGTTATGGTGTAGTGCATGCATGAATAGTGTTCGATACAGACAGAGATTCCGACTTGTCTATACCTAAACGTTACGTTATAGGAAGTTAACATTGAAAGTGCTATACTGTATAATAATAATAAAAAAGAAAAAAAAAAAGAAAAAAAAAAAAGAAAATGAAAAAGAATAAAAAAAGACTCGTTGCCCGCGCGCGCGTGACGTAAGAAAGGTGAAATGGGGAAAGTTTCTAATGGTAAAGGCCGTACGTACGTATTCTAATACGTAAGTAGATTATTTATCTGTCAGAGTAATCTGTGTAAGATTGAAATAAACAAAATCTTACAGAATTTTCTTATTATCGTAAAAATCTATAATCTAAAAAACGAACGAGATTTGATAAACGCACACAATAGATGCACGAACAAATTTCGCGATAAAATATGATGACGGTGACGATGATAATGATGATGATGATGATGATGATGATGATGATGATGATGATGATGCCAGAGAAAACGATAGAAAGAATTATTATATGATTTATAATATAATTAGGTCGATATTATATTATGGCACATGGGAAAACAAAAAAAAAAGAAAAAAGAAGGTTTCATCCGGTATATTGGTTGATTGCTATTACATTTATCAAGAAACATGATTTACTCGTTTTAAACTTTCGATCGTTTTCTCTTGCAACAGCAAATGACATTTTTTCATATCGTTGAAATGCAAGAATGATGAAGAAAAAAAAATAAGGGGGGAAGGTTCTTTTTCGAATGTTCTTTTTCTTGTATAAAAAAGGAAAAGAAAGAAAGAAAGAAAGAAGGGGAATATCATTTCTCTCGTTGCCTTAGACGTGCCATCGCAGTTTTTTTGTTAACTTAATCGAAAATTGTTATCATTAAATCTAATCCGAAAACTGGGCAAGTTTTCGTATCTTTTTTTTTGTTTTTCAACGTTCATCGAGTACGCATTTGTAAGATGAGAATATCCTTAAGAATTGACTTATTTTTTCGGATTGTTCTCGTTGTTGTTTTAATTGCGATTTGGCACGAAGAAATGTGGGGCTTACTTTCCCGATTAAACGGAGCAAAGATTCTTTTTCCAATATGGTTTGAATGTTTTTCGTTTTTGAATTCGTAAGAATCATCGATAACGAGATATCTATCCGAAAATAATTAATTTTCTTTGTCTCCTTTGTCGAGGATTTTGATCTTTCCGTTGGAAGAAACGTTCAATGTGTCTTCGTAATCGTTGACGTTTCCATTTAATTTCTTCGTATCGTTAGATTCGATCTTTCCGTTGGCCAACGTTGTCGTCGTCGTCGTCACACTTAATTTCTTTTTATCACTAGTTCCGTAGGCCATTTTGTAAAAGTCAGAAAAAAGGAAGTAGAAGAATATTATATTTGGAAGAGTAAAAACGACGGTCCACCTTGGATAACCGCAATCGTATATGAGCAATTGAAAATTGTGCAAAAACGTCAAGCAGAATTGTCCCTGTGAATTGTGTTATTATTTTATTATCATTTATCAATTATTATTATTATTATTTCTGTTTAATCATAATATATATATATATAATCATTATTGTTACTCACCATTTGCAACGTAGTTATGTATTTTTTCCACCATAAATATTTTTGATATTGCGGCAGTAATACGGCTAGTAAATAATACGTGTACATCACGATGTGAACGAAGCTATTGATGAGACCTTGGAATATGTGGATCAATTAATATGATTGCAAGTTGCTTATCTTACGAATGTTCATTATTATTATTATTATTATTTTGTACGAATTTTAATGTTACATATATACGTCATTTTTTCGTATTTTTTTGTTGTGTTCTTATTATTTGAATGTAACATTAAATAAGTATACCTACCTATGAAGGTACCATGACCTCCTGGATAATATGTTACTGCACCCCAAGCGATCATTGGCATCACGGTATGATGATAAACGTGGAGAAACGTTACCTGTTTCTCTTTCTTTCGTAAAACAAAAAAGACCGTGTCGAGAAGTTCCGTAATTTTAGCGATAAAATAAATATAAACGCCTTTAGCGACCTGTACAAATAATTCAATGAAATTATTAGATTTTCTTTCATAGACAAACGTAAAATCGTTAAGATAATTTAAACGATTAACAACGTACTCTTATCGCTTCCGGTGTATTCGAAAAATCAACAGGCTCGCATTTGAAGCTGTAATTTCTTAACCAGGCAGCGTCCAGTGCTTCATTAAATATCCAAATGCTCAAGAGGACTTGCATAAAATTATAAATGACTAGAATATTTTTCATTTGGAAGGGTTTCCGATGTTCCATATATTTGGGGCCCCAGGACCGAATGAAGTAATGGTAACCAATTAGAATACTGAGTCCTGGCACGGGTGAAGACACGAGGGACCAATCACGTGTTCGTGGATCTACGATTTAACATATGATATAATTTCAACATTTATATTCATATTAGGATGTACCAAAAGTTCGTGCATGTTTTTTTATTTATTAATATTTCCAAATTATACTTTACAACAACAACAAACGAATCCCATTATGCAATTACAAAGTAAAGTTTTAAAATAATAAACGCACGAATTTGTACATTTTTCCTACCACCTCCTCTTTTACTATTTCCTCAAACCCTTACCCGCTAAATCGTAAAAAATGAAGTGCCACATTCGGATGAACGAGTTGTCGTAAATGTTGGCCATTTTGTCGATCGGTGGTGCTGCCTCGGTGATATTCATTTGGATGATTTTAACTGGAAATTAATAAAATAATAATAATAATAATAATAATAATAATAATAATAATAATAATGTTATCGTTTTAAAAAGATGGGTGACGCATATTTGATCTTCATCAAATTTTTCGTCGATTACAGCAACAGGTGGTGGTTTTATCGAGAAATATCGTTAAAGTACTTTTGTCGATCCTGACCTAGCGGTTTGCATTTAGCATAGGTGAGATGATGATGATGATTGGTTTGGCCGTATAACCTACTCGTTTCTAATCGCATCGAATTCGCCAAGTAGAAGAGAAAAAGAGAGAGAGAGAGAGAGAGAGAGAGAGAGAGAAACGTTTTTTCTTTTTACGAAAGTTCAAGAAAGAAGAAATAACCGTTTTCCGGGAAAGAAACTCGTCCGTTTGCAATCAAACGTGACGATGATGTTGTGACGACGATGTTGCGACGACGTGCATTGCTGCATTGGCTGCATTGCTGCACCATTTCAAACGCACGATTTTTCCTGTTTCTGTCATATATGTATAATAGGGAAAGAGGATCCAGCAACGAACCGCGACGATAACATTTTCAAATTAAAAACAAGAACTTTCAAACAAAAGTTCGTGCGTTTTTTTTTCTTTTCCCTTTTTTTTTTTATAATCAATATTTCCAAAGTAAATTTTACACAAAAAAACTGATGTGTGTACATCAAGTTGTACTTTTTTAGCGTACCAAAACGAATATAACCTGAAAAATAACTTGAATTTGCGCGCGCATCGTAAATATCGACAACTTCGTGGTGTCGAATTTTTCGGTCGCATCTAACTTCACTTTTCAAAAACGCGTCAAAAGAAGTATAACTTCAACAAAATAAATCACGGGAATAACATGAATTTATCGAAAAGGGGAGCATGAGTTAAAAACATGAATGAAAACAGATAATGATTTGTAGTAAAAGAATTCGATAATGTGGGCCAACAATTCGATTATTATGCCGGTGTGTAATCTCTTCTTTTTTAAGCGTGGTTACTATTTTCTATGTTAATTGTTACTCTAGGATAAGAATATGTTGGTTTGCAAGTAAGTCATGTAAATATATGTTAAAAAAAATGCATCAGTGCATGAGTTCACTGACACCATCATTGTGTGTGTGTCTCTTTCCGCTTACAACAGATCACTCTTCTTTTTTATTTGATTTTATTTTTTTACTCTTGTTAAAAAGAAATAACTTTGTCCCTTTGGTATTCCTCACTTGCAATTCAAATTGAATAGAGAATTCTTTTTCTTTTAATATTATTATTATTATTATTATTTCCGTTTAGCTTCTTTTACATATGAATTATTTAAACACGTATAATGTTGTAATAAGATTTGCAACAGACTGACGTATTTACGATCTACGTGACTTTACAAATTTCAAATGAAAAATTGCATAAAAGGTTTATTAACCTCTTCTCTTTTTACGATTTAATTTATGATTATGCGTATCATAATCAACGACAAGTTCACGTAGTAGCAAGTTCAATCATTTAACGATTTGATTAACGTTAAGTGTTTAAAGTTGTAATATTTAATTGCATTATTTACATATGATATGTTAAACTTATAGAAGCAAATCTTGAATCGTTTTCAGAACGTGCATTTGTTGTTTATGTTTTGTTCGATCAATTTATCACGTATTTCACCCATGATTTTCATATTTCATTTTATTTTTCTTATTTATTAGTATCAGACGATGTCGCAGGCAATTTTTTAATTGCTTTAATTAGATTGAGACAAGTATAGTTAGACATGAAATTGAAATTAGAACAGCATAATTAACAGAACGTTGCATATAAAAAGAATTGTATTATTACCTAAAACTAATGATTTTCAAGAATATTACATAACTACATAAGTGTATATTTTATTATATTTTTTGTTTATTATTTTTAATATATAATATATAGTATGTAAATATTTATATGTATATACATACTTATGCAGTTATGTAATATACAACACATTAAATAGAATTTTCTTTAAGAACACATACCTAAACTAATTATTAAGGAAACATACGAAAGACTGGTCACTATTATGGGGAAAATGAATGGGGGAACGAGTCCATCCCGTTCTGAGTTGGTCATGCGATGACACAATAATATCACCGATTTCCCATTTTCTACGCTTTCTTTATTCCTATCTTTCACAAATTTCAAACTCATTCCATGACATTATGTTTATCGTAAACAATTGATTCTATTAATGATCCTGTTAACTAATCAAATATTTTTCAGATAATTTTATCAAATGCACGTTATTATACTCTTTCTTTTTTTCTTCTTCTTCTTCTTCTTCTTTTTCTTCCATCGTTCAATGACTTTCAATTCGCAATAGTTACGCAGGTACCAACGAGCCAATACTATCTCTCACCTTTCTCTCTTTCTCTCTCTCTCGTTTTCTTTTAAATATCTGGGAATAAGGATTACAGTGTTATTATGAGACTGGGTTCGGTGCACGAGTAACGTAACATGCTACCTTACTGAATTTCCGCGTGCCTAACAACTCGTTCCTTCGCAAATCATTTCCGCAAAAATATATTTATTCGTTTGATCTATTCGAGAAAACAGGTTCACCCCATTTATTAGAAAACAAGGATTTTTATTTCTAATATTGTGTGTGTGTTATCATTTAATATATTAATAAACTATTTCTATATATATACACTCGTAATTTTTCGATTAAAATTAATACGAAATATTAAAAATAACAAAAAAATTATCTCATTTTCCTAAATAATAAAAACACAACTAGTGTAGGAAAATAGATGAATAAAAATATCATATTGTATATATATATATATATATATATATTATTATTGAAGTTATACTTCTTTTGGCGCGTTTTGGAAAATGATGCGACCGAAAAATTGACACCACGAAGTTGTCGATATTTACGATGCGCGGGAAAATTGAAGTTATTTTTCAGGTTATATTCGTTTTGGTACGCTAAATAAGTATAACTTCTTACGTTTTCATTAAAATATATATATTATTATTATTAAAATATATATTGTGTGTGTGTATGTATACATGTATATATATACAATATGATTTTTATTCATCTATTATATATATATATATATATATGTGCACGAAATAAAACGAATGCAAAATAAATAAAATACTAGATAGATTATTAATTATCTTACCGTGAAAAAATGTATTGACAATGAATCCACACGAATCAAGTAGCACGAGTCAATGTATAAGTCAACCGGACACGTTGATAGATAAAATAAAATCCCCCAAAGAAACGCTTATATTTAGGAAACCAGAATTACTTGGAAATTAAATCAATAATCTTTCTTTCTTTTTCTACTTAATTTCAATAATATTTTCCTTTTATCTTCTTTCTTGTTAATGTTAATGTTTTATGACGTTAAAAAGAATCGTTACCATTAAAATATAATTAATTCAAGTGAAAATAACAAAATTTGACTGTGGGGGAGAATAAAAAATTGTAATACAAAAAAAGGATTTAAAAAAAAATTAAAAACTATATCCGACTAGCACGAACCGGAATTTTCTGTTTAACTGTTTGATCGTTTCAAAAGTGTACTCGAAAAACGCGTTCGCGTACGCGACCTGTTATACTGTATCGAGTTACATTGAAGAAGTGGTGGTAAGATCACCTGCGATTAGATTTAACTAACATATGCTCTTCCCCCCCTTTCCCCGTCCCCGTCCCCTCACCTCCCCGACCATCTACTACTCCCCTTCTTTTCTTGACGTATATACTTTCGTATAGTTTACGTATTATACTAACGGCAGCCAGGTATATTACAATGTAACGTTGAAAGTTGTTGCTTGAAAATGAGTAGGGGGGTATTATTCGTCGTAACTTTCGGTCTGATATGATTTCATTTCATTTCGTTTCATTTGTTTTCTTTTTTCTCTTTTCTATTTTTTCCTTTCTAATTATGCGCCAAGTAAAAATAATGATGAACGACGGTAAAAAAGATTTTTTTAAAATTAAATTTGACAAAAACAATCAAATTCCTGATTATGCAGTTTCAAAGTAAAGTTTCAATGCAAAATTCAACGCACAAATTTTTGATTTACCCTAATATATATATATATATATATATATAAAATTTCGATGTAGTATTTCGATATAGATTCCGAACATTTTACTAATTGTAATTGTAAAATAGAAACAAAGCTATTTGCTATGACGTATAAGCAAAGAAACACATGTGGCGTATTTAAATGGAAATTAAAATCTGTCTCTCTTCTTTGTGACATTTATGCTTTATTTCTTTTTATTATTTTTTACGTAAACGCAACTTTTTGTATTCAAACTTTGTTATATATTATTTTAAAAAAAATAACATAAATTAAATATATAAAATTCTTATTTTTATACATATTTTATATATTTTTGTTTGTTTAATTTATTATGCCAAAACAATTTGAAATCCAATCGAGATGTTTATTTCTAGAATAAGCCTAAAACTTTATTTTACAAATTGTGGGTTTTTTTTTTCTTTTTTTAATAATAATAATAATAAACGATTTCGAATTTAATGATTCTTTATAAAAATGAATTGACAAGTCTCTTTTTAAATTTTCATTCGAAAGAATCCCCTTTTAAAATAAATTTCATACGAAAACTTTCCATTAGGAATGCACTCCCACCCACGCTTTACCAATTGCATTGTTTTTTTACTTCTGACATGTCACGAGCAACGATTACAATAGTACAAAGATCGTAATTATAAAAAAAAAAATGAAAAACGAATAGTTTAACACGATGGGTAAAAAATAAGAGGGACACACAACTAAAGCAAATGCGTATGCTATTTTGTTTCTTTCCTTTTCTTTTCTTTTTTTTCTTTGGAAATTATTTTTTTAATCGAAACAAAAGATTGTTTTATTCTTTTTCATTTATCAAATGATGTACGAACGCATGAAATTTCAACGTCGCGAAGAATGTTAACCTATTTACATCATGATTCTAGTTAAATGATACTAGTTTGTTTCAGAAACAAT